AATATTATTAATTAGTATAACAGAGTATAATAGTATAACAAATATAACAGATGTATAAGATATAACAGCTCTTATGTTTATCTCATCCTCCTCATATCAACATTTGTCTTGCTCAATTTCTTGCAGCTCCCCAGAGCTTCTTCAGCTTTTCTGCCCCAATCAGTTACTCTCTACTTATCTCCCTTATCAGCTGTTCCTTCACTCAGCACACTTACCTTCTGGAGAAAGCAGCCTCGCAATGCGGACACTTGTAGTTCCTCTCATTTGTATGCAGCTTCTTATGGCGATCCCGGGAGCGTTTGTGCTTGAACAGCTTTGCGCAGTACTCGCACTTGAAAGGCAAATGCTCGGCATGACTCTAAAAAGAGAGAGAGAGAGAGAGAGCGAGTTAGAGAGAGATATGTATAGTTAGAGATAGAGACATTGTTTAGTGAGAGCTGCGCTGATGTCTTTAGTTCCTCGACTTAGGCCGAGGCTCGCTAAGCTAAGCGCGTCTGACTAACCTATTTGAAATTCTTAGAAGTTGTCGAGCTGTTGTCGACTCGCCTGATTCCTGCCTTGAATTTATTGCTGCAGTTGGCTAAATAAAAAGAAGCAAAAGCGATTCAAACTGATTCAGAATCTGCATAGCAGCCAGTGGGGCGGCAGGCGAGGCAGGGCGAGGCAGGGCAGGGCGGGGTAGGCGGGGCAGTTGGACGTAGGTGTTTCTTCGCTTGTGGCTTGTGGACAAAAATTCATCTAAATGCGCAACGCAAACGCCACAAAAAGGCGAGAGGGGCGTGCCAAGGGGGGGAGGGGGGTAGAGCTGTATGTTTAGCTTCACACACACACACACCCGCAGCCGGTTTGCTTTTTGGGTTCTTTGGCGGTCGGCGTAGACGCTTTGAAGTATGATAAAAAAAAAAAAACAACGGATTTTTTTTTTTTTTTTTTTTTTTTTGCAAAAAATTAGCCCATTTGTATGCAAGCCCCCGCAGTTGAAGTTTGGCTTATTGCACAATAAGAGCGTCGCGTTAACCTGTGCAAAGTGTTTGCCTGACTGGGGGGATTCTCGTGTCGGTTATGGTTTTTTAAACTGTCGCGCCAATCATCCACATCATCATCAGCATATGAGCAGCCCCTCTCGCCCCGGAGGATCAAAGGCAAGCGCATTATGTTTGAGCCGCGATAAGCGATCATCGGGCGGTAGTCCTAAACACAGTTGCAATTGGGTTAACAACTTGTTAGCCGCTGATGTCATGGGCGTTCTTATACCCTCCCAGAACAACAACAGCAACAGCAACAACAACAACAAAGAGAGGATGGGACAGAGAAACACATCAACATGATGAGACATGCCTTCAAGTGGGTGAACATCGAGAGTTACGTGTTTGGGTTTTGTTTGAAATGCTACCGAAATTGTATTCCTCTCTCTCTCTCTCTCTCTTTGCCTCTCCCTACTCCGCCTCTTTAGCTGTGTACCGCACTTTGCCGTCCTCTAAGAATGCTCTGTTTTATATGTATAAAGGCCGCTAGATATGCATCGCATATAGAGGAATTTTTTTAGTTTTTGTTTTTGTTTTTTCGCGTAGAGAAACTTTTGCAGGCAATGAACATTTTTGCACGAATGCGATCGAACGGATAAGCAGGGCGGGAGCTTAGAGATTAAAATAAATCATTTTTATAGGCAAGATCCAAGGCTGATAGATGACTCTCTATATATAGTTTGGAATAGTCTATAAATAACAATTGGCAATCAATTGGAATAGAAATTAGATTTCATAATGAGGAATATCAATTGAAGGAGATTTTGGTATATGATTAAAAATATTATGAGAGAAGCCTAAGAAGTTTTTATTTTGTCTGAATGGAATTTTTGTTTCTATAAACAGATAAAATATAAATTAATAATAAATCTGAGATATATCTAACGCAAATAAGAATTATTAAATAAACTATAACTGCAAGTAAGTACAGTGTAATTTGAAACAATATATATATACTTATTTTATATAGAGTATAAAAAGTGAATTTATTTTCATTTTACAAATCGAAGCCTTGAATTGTAATACTTTTCTACGC